TCTGGCACCATTCCTGCTATTGATCCACATAAGTACGGCCAAAACCTCATATTTGTCACTACTACAGCATAATTGAAAATTGTATATGGAAAAGGTGAAACTCTAAACAGAGCAACTACTTGAAATTGATGGAACCAGCTTCCTTCCCCAGCAAGCCTAATCATTGCGGCATTCTTGGGCCATCTCTTTAACCATTGCTGAATCATATATATAAGTAAAGAGCATAAATATAAAAGTAAAACAACTTAAAGGAAAAATAAGAACAAGATGAACCTAGACTTGTGATCAAATGAGAAACAAAATGACTTACATGAATGCGGTCACGAAAAAGTAGTCCAATTGAGTAAGGGAGGACCATCCCAATTGTTGTTCCAACCATTATTATAACAAACCCAAGGCCATAACCAAAAATCATCCCAGCCAACCACATGGAGGGGCCAGAAGGGATTAATAATACTGGGAATAAAGCCAGAGAAGCAACAAGTACAAGGGCAAGAACTGGACGGCCAAAGGCAGTCGCTTCCCACTCCATGATTGGGTAAAGAATCTACAATAAAATTTTTAGAAGGATCAAGCTTCAAAATATGAATTAACAGCAACCATGTGGAGTGTAAGCTATTCCACAAGAATTAAAAAATATCAAGTCTAAGCTTGTTCGTAGGCAACAGTATGCAATTCCCTAACCTCGTCATGTTTATTACACAAGTGACAAGTCATTTCATGATATGATACCCATAAGGACTATAAAATGTCAGCAAACTAGGGTTAAAGGGAAAAAATAGGGGAGGGATGAAGAAGCAGAAATTCCTACCAACAAGGAGGGAAAGTGTCCTTGTTCTTTCTCATAAAATATATTATGACATATTAGCATTGACAGCATGAAATCATATAACAATTGAACTCCCTAATAAATTTTCATCCACATTGGATATAAAATACTATACTCATTCTTATTTATAGGACTCAACTTAGAACAATTGTTTATTCCTTTATAAAATCCAATTTGTATTGTCTCATTCATTAATTATTTTAGATTAAAATACCCCTAATTAAAATATGCTCTCTTAATTTGGTAAAATGCATTAATTATAAATTCTTTAAAGAGTATGCACTCTAATTAGTTAGGAGAAAGATGAGTATCAATTAGGAGAGAAATAGTATAAGGCATGGTTAGAAGTTATATGAGTATTAATTAGGAAAGAGAAGTAGTATAAGAGTAGTTTAAGAAAAAAAATATATAAATAAGACAAATTTATTGTCATCAACTAAATTAACTATTTTTCTTAATCTTGATGAATTAGGTCATTGAGTCTTATATATAAGAAAGGAGGTAATAGTAAACTGCACACTGATACCATTTAATTTATGTGAAGTGGGAGAGAGCACAAAACTAATAGTTCTACTAATCTAATAGGAAATAATGACCAAATACATAAAAATGTGATGCCAAGGAAATGCCGAACTTAAAATATAATTGTCATAATTTCAGTTACAATGTAAAATACGAACATGAAAGTGACACAGGATTAGCATAATTTTATCAATATCAAATAAATCCATGACAACCAAACAACACAGTATCGATTAATTTCTGAATAGGAAATTCAAGTCCACATCCACAATGAACATGCATCAAGAGAAGCAACTTTGGTACTGGAACAATATGTAAAGCAAGAGGAAGTACCTTTTCAAAAGTAAATGGCACTCCCCATTTCACTATAACAAGAGCAAGTACAATAATGACAACGCACCATAAAAAGACTTTCATCCACCACCTGAAAGATTTCATTCTTGATTCTCCTAGAGGCTGTAGTATTTCAGCTTCAACAGCCCTTGGTTCATCAGATATGGCAAGTCTAACATATTCACTATTCCCCCTCACATGATGACCCGAGATTGCATGTTTTTCCAACTCCTCTGATGATTCTGGCGTCATCATTGTGATGCCAGAGGACTATGAAATGAAACAAAAGCACAAGATAAGCATGAAGCTGAAATTGATTCAAAATTAAGTGAATGTTTGATTCATCTACATACTTAAATCAAGCAATAACGATCATATGGCATAAACAAAATTAATTTATCTTATAAAGGCCAAGACCAGAAATTCTCTAGCCAAATTAAAGCAAATTAACATTCACATAGACAATAAGAAACTGCAAATAGACTTGAGTGATTCTAAAAAAGGTAGCGACCACAGAATTTAACCCAAAAAAAAAAAAAGCAATGTTGGATGCATCGAGTTTTATAAATCTAGCAGGGTATACTCCTGTCCTATTTGTAAATATAACAAGGCAAACTGAAGCAAAACAAAGTAAGCAAGCTACAGGAGTTATTATACACATAAAATTGCTTTCATACTACGGCCAGAATAAATTCTCCTTAAAACATAATACTGACTGACTTAGAAATTATGTAGAGATCACAACGCTGCCTCACTATTTACATTCAAGAAAGTTACGACAAAACTTCCACTATTAGACTGTAAGAAATTGCATGCAGGGGCCACAGAATTTAACCAAAAAAGAAAAAAGCAATTTTGGGACATTGTTCAAAAGTTATATAATATCCTAAGCAGAATAGAATTAAAGCATGTCTGTTGTTAAAAGCATCTGAATAAAAGAGACTCTGATTGCAAATATCAATGACTGCAAATAGACCTAAAAACATTCTTATTTCTTTAAACCCCTTTTTTTGTACATAGATGATCCTTGCTCTAACAACTAACAAGAGCCCTAAAGAACTAATTCAATGATCTTCTATTCAAAGAGGGGCAAACCAACACAAGAGTTCAGAGCCCTAAAAATCTCAGCACCCAAGCTGGTCCCCTTCAATTTGAAACCCAAAACAAATTTTTAATCCAGAAATTTTCAACAATCAAATAAGTAACACACGGCACTTACCTCTCTAATCACTGGAGAACTTCAAAGTGTTTTAGGCAAAATTTCCCAAAATAGAAGGATCAATTAAATGAACTAAGCCAAACCAAAGCCAGCCCCTTTTAACATTAAATCACTACAATATCACTTAAATTAACTCTTTTACAGTTTAACAAATTATAGAGTTTAAAAAACTAAGGCGCCTCCCTCTTCAGTGTTCACAACTAACGAAACAAAAACGTAAATTTAAGTTTTTTTTCTTTCTCTCACGCTAAGAAATTTAAACAAAATAAAGTTCCGTTACAAATTATGAAACTCACGAGCAAAAGGAAGAAGAATCAGAGAGCGGTGCAATAAGCTGAGAGAGAAGCGAAAGGTTTCCGAGTTAGCTTCCGTCGGAGTACGCCGGCGACCGCCGTGGACGGCGGAAGAGATGGCGGGTTCAGACAGCAAGGGACGAAGTTGAACGCGGAAGCCAAGAAATTCACGAAATGAATGCTTCGTCTTCTTCGCCAATGTTTCACTTTCAAACATGAAAAACTAAGTACCTTCGTCTTCTTATATTTTTTATTTTCTATCATTTGTTTTTTATTTTTGAAATTAATTGTTTTATTTTATTTTAATTTTGAAGAGGGAGACAACATTTTCATTTTGTATGGTAGTTTGGCCAAAAAGCGAGTTCAAAGTGGTTGGATTGGATGAAATCTTCAAAACTATGAAAAATTGAACACCCAAAAAAAAATGCCAAGGAATGAGTACTCAAAATATATTGGATACAATTTTAAAGAATTTCTTTTTTCTGTAATTTTTATACTAAGCCTACGTTAATTAATTTATTATTTATGCACCATGTGAATACAATGGTACAAAATAATTTCCAATAAAATAATAATGTAAATATTTTTATATTATTACTATATTTTCATTTAATTTAATTTTAATGTATGATTAATTTAAAAAAGTATATTGTCAATCAAAGAAATAACACCATATTATGATTTTTAAAATAGTTATAATTTAATAATATAATAATTGATGAATGATTAACATGATAAAAAAATATTATATTATCAATATTTTAACTAAATTCTTTAAAAAATGACTAACCAAATTTTTTTATTTTTTAGTACAAGATAAAACTAACTTATTTTAGGTATATGATGGATTAATTTATTAACAATGTACCTGTCTGAAGGGCACATTAGTAAACTTCTCGTACTCTGAACCTGTCTGAAGGACACATTAATAAACTTCTCGTACTCTGAAGGCCGAACGAGAGCTCCAAACGAATATTCTGGTGAGAGGCAACCTGCAAAAGGCACTCCGACGCTCAAGTCAGGACAAACACAAATATCGATAGTAATTAATGAATAGTGACGTTACCTCGTGACATGAACTATTTATACTGACATTTATGGGCCTTGATTCTCCATGGACCTGCAACCAGATTACTGTATTAGGTAATACGTCCCTAATCAGCTTATTGGTGTAATTACTACTTAATTCTTGATTAAGGGCAATTCTTGAGTGTATGGTGTACCTGGTGGCTGATCGGGTGTCGGCCCCCAGGTTCGGTCATTCGGTGGCCATAGGATTTCGGCTATATGGTGGCCGAATGCTCTTACCTGTATAAACAATAATTACTTTTTATCAATTTAAAAAAAATCTCAATCTTTAAGAAATATTTTTTTCTCTAGTTATACGGCTACTTGTAATATTTTGGTTTGCAAAAACAATCGAACCGACTAATACGAAATAAATTTTTTTAGTTGAACGTTGGATTCCAGTTTTAAAATATAAAAAGTATTGAAAAATGTCTATTTTTAATATTTTTTTATTATTAATAAAATTATCATTAGAACTCATAAAAAATGAAAATTGAAACACACATATTTTCATGATTTGTAATATAAAAAAATTACTAGCATTTCACTTTATTAAATAATAATAATTTGGCATAAGTTTTATAGCAGTTGAATGAAATAAAACATGAATAGTTAAAATGAAAACTTGGTCAGCTTCTAAAATATAAAGTAGTAGCCATGTGTCTACCAGTCAACGCGCTAAATTATTGAGTGACTTACACTTGTACGTAGTTTGGAGCAGTGTTTTAAAAATCGGTTCGGTTAAACTAGGAATTGATGATCTATTCACTTCAAATTTAAGTTAAGTTAGATTAATTATACATTTTATCCATTTTAAACTGGAGTGAACCGGTCAAATTTCCAGTTTAACTAATAAACTGGTAGGTTACCAGTTCAACCAAAAAAAATTTAAAATAATTTTTTTATATATTTATTTATATAAAATAAAATTAAAGATAAAGATAATTTTAAGTATAAGATGAAAATTAAAATTTAAGATAAAATATGAATTTATTAAAATTTATAAGTATAAAATATATTTAACATAAATATTTTTAAAAAAAATTAATAAAAATTGAGTTATATCTATTAATTTAATCTTTTATCTTAACTGATTTGTTAACCGATATAATTTTTAAAACTATAATTTGGAGCATAGATTTGGAATACAACAAAGCGCGTGAAAACTTGTGATGTATTTCTACGTATAGGAACATTCATAAACAAATGCAATGCAACAAAAGAAAACAAATGCCATATTCTTCTTACGTATCTAGAAGCTTATTATTCTAATATCTCTCTGAATGGATATTATTGACTTTTGACTTTTCCTTTCCAGTTACGTTAGGCAATTGCAAAATTTTTATTATGTCACCGATTGTATTATATTGGACTTAAATCCAAAAAGAAAAAAGTAATTAATGAAATTTGGTACAAAGTTTAATGATGAAATGATAGGTTATCTACAAACTACATCGTGAGCTTAACTTTGAAATTTAAGTAACACTAGATTGAAAATATGAAACAAATATTTAATGTCCGTTTCTGCCTTTCTGGTAGCTATTAGTTTTTTTTTTTTATTTTAAAAATTAAAGTCAGTTTTTTTCAATTAATACTGGTAACTTCATAATTCATAAAAAGGGGGAAAAAAGAAAAGCATTATCATTTATGGGGTTTTCTAAATTGTTAGCATCGTCGTTTTCGTTTCTGCATTTGCTACGAAATTATAGTTGATCCGTTATGTTTTTGGTTTGAACCATTAAGCGTGTATTTAGTAAGATAATGAAATACTACTAATTAAAATAAATTAATTAGATGCGTTTGATTAAATGATTATTTTTTCAAAAAAAATTATTACTAACTTTGATTTGATAAGTTAATTAAAAAAAGTATGATTTATATTAAAAAAAATTATGATATTTTTCTTATACTATTTTTGCCAGTTTCAAAAATAATATTTTACTCTTCCTTAATTAATATTTTTATTTTCAATAAATTGTATGCACATATTTAGCTATTTTACTCTTTATTTTTTTTTTATAAATATCTAACTATAGTAGTACATTTAATTTGATATATTATTATTATTATTATTATTATTATTATTATTATTATTATATACATACGTAAACATTTTTTGTCATTTTATAAGTATCAAGTAGCTAATTTTATTAAATATTTTTCAATTAACATCACTTTTTAAGTTTTCAGTTTAACTAACTTATCAATTTTTAACATGATATTTGTTAACTTTTTAGTTAAAGATGCTTAACAAAAGGTAAGTACTAATTCTTAGGGTTATTTGATGAGGATATAATTTTATATGTTATTTTATAAATTATTTACAAGTATTTGTATACACAACTCTACAATGATTAAATATTATTTATTTTAGATTTTTATCCTTATAATTTTACTTTCGGTCATCTTTTAAAAAATCTTAATTATAAGTTTTTGTTTTTCCATCCGATGTAAAACTTTATTTATACCATAATACTAATTTGTATGAGCCATCACTTTGATGTACTGCATTGTTCCTTACCACATTGTTACAAAAACAATGTCCTGTGTAACCTTTTAGCTGACTTGGTAAAGACACAGTGCAATTTGAATCAAGAAACGTTGTCCCACGAAAAAGAGAATACCACTCGAGACTTAGCTGATTGGTTAGATATATAGTGATGAACATCTCTTTCGAGCTTTTAATGTTCTTTGTTTCATAAACAAATGTTATTGAGTTTTAATTTTGGCTCTAAGGTCAGGATAAAACCCTTGTTGTCTAGGCTACAAACTCGGCTATGGTCTATTTAGATAACATTTTCCATAAATACTTTTAAGAAAAAAATTGAAATACATTTCCCATAAATTAAAATCTTGTAAGTTAAAAATATTTTTTTTCTTCAGAAAAATAATGTGAGAGCTTTTACAAAATAATTTATACATAAACTAATTTTAATTAACAAAACAATTTATTTCATTTTTTTTATTCTATAGGAATTTTTTTCTAAACAGATGTTATCTTATATTCCAGCTACAGAACGTGTCAGTCGAAAGAAAATTCGATAGCTTCATTAACTAATAGTTGCTTAGCTTTGTCCTCTTAGCCCAACATCTTCCTCTAGCATAACTTTTCAAGATCAATTACACAAAATTCAACAGTCTCATAATGCAGCACACACACATATCAGTTTTAACAACTTTCCATAAGCATCCGAAGGACCTCAGCCAATGTCCTTGATTACCTTGGTATCTTCCTAAATTATGATAGTGTGAACAGTAAGTTGCGAGGTGCACATGGGAAATTTGGGCCGCAAAAGGACAGGCAAGAAGAATCCCTTACGGGCTAGAGAAAGAATGATGCAAATTTATAGATCTCTTTATTTGCAAAATCAGCTATAAGTTGATCGAGTGAAATCAGATAAACATGATATTAAACTTACATAAAGAATCAAAGAGAAGAAAATAGAAAAGAAACAGAAAACTAAATTAAACAAACAAAAAAACTACAACCTTATGGGCTGTGGCCAAAAAATTGGAGATGTGACACTCTCTTCACTATGGATTAAAGAGCTTCCGGAAAGGCCCGTCTTTCCTGTCTTTGGCAGCTTCAGTTAGAGCTAGGAACCGCTTGAACCCTGTGGTGGCAGCTCCTCGTCCAAGTGCAGCAGCCCTAGTTAAAACATCTTCCCGTGTCGCTATGAGTCCAACAGCAGAGGGACTAGGTACCACAGGAGCTACAGGAGGAGCTGGCACAATTGTAGGTGCAACCTGAGTTTGCTTAATTCCAGGCCCATGTTTGTTGAAATCATCAAGAATGCTTTGTTGATCAGATTTTTTCAGACCCTGAAAAAAATAATCATAGGTCATCCCAACATGAAGCAAAACTAACAAATCATGCATTCAATTGCATTTAAAAAACCAAAAAAAATTAGCATCACGTGCTAGCATCCATAAGCAAAGCATGAACATTAATATATATTAACTAATTTAGTTAACTGAACAAGTTATTCAAATTCAATTTTATTGTATGCATCTTCTGTTGGATTTAGACATTGCATGCTCCTCATCAATCTCAATTCTTCAGCAATTATATCTATACCTTCATACAATCCATTTACTAATGAGACTTATTGTAGGATTTAGGATTGCCAGAATAGCAGACACAACATTGTGCACGAA